TCTTGCAACGGGATTTGGGGTACACGTTGCACAAACCCAGACGTCGTCGATTTCCAACGGTACCCGTCGTGGTGTTCGGAATCGACGAGCAGTGGACGGCCGACTTGATCGAGGTGATCAGTATCGCCAAGTACAATCGAGGGTATCGTTATCTCTTGACTGGGGTGGACGTTTTTTCCAAGCACGCCTGGGTCCAACCCTTGAAAAGCAAGACGGGCAAAGCGGTGACGGAAGCCATGGCTAAGATCTTGAAAGGAGGTAGAAAACCCATCAATCTTCAGACGGATGACGGGAAGGAATTCTACAACAAGCCGTTTCAGGATTTGATGAAACAGAAAGGCATTCATCATTTTTCGACTCGTGGGGATACGAAAGCCAGTGTGGTGGAACGGTTCAATCGGACCTTGAAAGAACGTTTGTACCGATACTTCACCGTGCAGAATACGATGAGGTTTGTACCCGTGTTACAAGATCTGGTCAAAGGGTACAATCGTTCGTATCATCGCAGTATCAAGATGGCTCCCGATCAAGTTAATTTAGCCAATAGCGAGGACGTGTGGGAGACTCTTCACGGAAAGAAAAAGGGGAAAAAATCAAGAAAACCTCAACTCAAAGTCGGGGATCGTGTGAGACTGAACAAGAAGTTCAAACAGTTCAAGAAAGGGTATTTACCCGGTTGGACCTAAGAGGTGTTTGTGATACGTAGGGTGCGTCCTGGTAAGGTTCCCACGTATAAAGTGGAAGAATGGGATGGCACGTCGGTCGATGGCACGTTTTACGCGCAAGATTTGCAAAAGGTGACCGTGAAAGACGATTTGTTCCGCATCGACAAGATCGTCAAACGAAAAGGGGATAAAGTCTTGGTACGTTGGAAAGGTTGGCCAGTCAAGTACGACAGTTGGGTGGATAAAAAAGGCCTGTACGTGACAAAAAAGCCAAGAAAAAAATGAAAGACTTTTACGTGCAGTTGCTGAGCAATGCTAGTACGTTTGAGTTTCCCGACAACAAGGCCAACAGTTTCAAGAATCTCTGCCTTACCCTCTCATGTTTGACGCCGACAAGGAATGGAAAGTGGGATTGGTCAGCGTTTCTTACCCGATACCACCGTCACGACCGCATCAAGTACCCACGCATCAAGTGCACGACTTTGACGATGACGATGAGTTGTTTAGTGTTGAATGGACCATTGAAACGTTCATATTGCATTCCGATGGGTCGTGGCGTCCTGGTCGATACCGAGTGCCGTTTCACGTCACCGGGAAGGAAATGAACCGTGACCGACACAAAGTGACGAGTGGCAGATCTCTCATGCAATACCTCATCAATCGTTTTCACGAACGCTTGTATCATTATATGGATCGCGCAGGTGAAAGTCTACGAGCGCCGGACGGGAAAAAATACTACCCCGTGTTTCGATGGGAGGGGAATGATTTCATTCTGGACAACACCGACACCTTCCTCGACGAGTCCGGAGACAGACAACGTCCCAGAGTGTTTTTTGGTCCTAAACTGGTCAAGAAGTTGGTCGGACCTGGATCGTAGTTACGAAGAAGCGTTTGGTCACAATCGTCGTTCTTTGTTCGTGTATTCGAATGTTGGACAGAGTATGGTGACTGGGAATCAAGTCACGGATCTGTTGAAACAAGTTCGTTACGATCCGGAAACGGTTGACTTTCAACCTAGACACATCCTATATCTACCGGTGCGCACGACCTTTTTGGACATTGTCGAGACGCAAGTGTCCGAGAACGACGGACAACTGGTGAACTTTGCTTCGGGTGTGACCACGATCACGTTGCATTTCAAACGATGAATGGTTTTTACGTCAGCTTACCAAGCCACAGCAGTAAGAACGAGTTTCCGGGGAACAAGGCGAATAATTTCAAGATCCGTTTACCCAATCCCATACGCCTGGAGGGACATGGTTGGAAAGTGGGGATGAGTAGCATCGCCATGCCAGATGCCCATGTGACGCTTCCTTCCTTCGCCGATTCTGAAGATAAAGTCACCTTGGCCTATACCGCATGGAGGCGCGTTGAACCTGGAACTTCAAGTGGGCATTCGTTTGGAGAAGCTTTATTCAGCACCGAAAATGTCAAAGAGGTTTTCAGCAACGTGAACGGAGTCGAATTCATGAAATCCATTCTCAGCTACTTCGAAAGGGAACGCATCTTCAAATACTCTGGACCGAGAATAAACTCAAGATATGTCACGAGTGATGGTAAAAGAACCTATGTCGCGTTCAAGTGGGAAGGTGAAGACCTGGTCACGGATAACAAAGACATCTTACGTTCCAAAACGGATACACCTGCATTACGATTTAACGTCGATCTGGCTTTGAAAATGGGATGGCTCCTGGAGAATGGAAATAGTTACGTGCTTGGTCCAAACTTGCGAATCGAATTTTTCGACGATGTCATTCCAAACATTCGAAGCAATGGAGACCTATATGATTCTGACGGAAATCATGTTTTTTTCAATGTCGTAAAAAACCCACTCAAAAAAACTGATTTTTTGATACTCAGCATCTTTTGCAATTGGCGTTTTCTGAACCTGAACAAAGCTTTTGAAAGTGTGATTGGAAGCAGTTCGCGTTCCTTGCTCGTCTACTCCGACGTGGGAGGTGGAAGTGTGGTGGGGAATCAAGTCACGGATTTACTGAGAGAGGTCAACTTGATTCGAAGAGGCGCCGGTGTTCAGTACTTCGAGCCTTACCACATTCAATATATTACAGTGCGCAAAGACGTCATTGACATTATAGAAGTGCAAGTGGGTGAGACAACTGGAGAATTGGTGACATTTGGACCTGGCAATACGATCGTGACATTACACTTTAAGAAAGAATGATCGGTGGAACTTTGATACGATTTCATCCCGATAAAATCATTCATTATGGAGACGGATTCGGTGCGGCCTGGAGAGGTATCAAGAAACGAGGTCCAGGCATTGTCATAGACGTTTTGACCGAGACGGCCATGGAGGGTCTGAAAGGTTTAAATTCGGGCGGCAAAGGAGGAAAGCCCAATTGGAAAGGTGCACTCGCCGGGGTCAAGAGAGGAGCAACACGAGCCGTGAAACGTAAAGCGACGCAAGAGATTCAACGCGCGTTGTCCAAAAGAGTGAGAAAAGACCTATTTGGAGTATGATTCCCATTTACTCGAGGCGTGTGAGACGTATCCCAATACGACGAACGTATAAAGGCGGTACGATCTTCCCAACACGCTCAAAACTTCCAAGCTATCGTTGGGTGCAGTCCGCACTTAGAAGTTAACGAAGACGACGTAGACGACGACGATGACGGACATGGTCGCTCATGCCAGGTCAGCAGGGGTTCGTAACCCTCGCCTGAACATGTTCAGCACACCTCCCACGGATCTCAGCATGTCATCTCGTCGTTTGGTGAGAATCAATCCGTTCAATACGGGGATCAACCCAGTGACCTTCCAAGTCGATCCGCAAGAAGACTTTATCGACTTGAACGAGAGTTTCTTCGAGGTGGAATTGACCGTAAAGAAAAGTGACAATACGAATGTGTTGACAGCGGATGTCCTGGGACTCGCCAACAATCTGGCTCACACCCTCTTCAAACAGATCAATGTGAGATTGAATGGCACTCTCATCAGCCCTCAGACCGATACTTACCACCTCAAAGCCTACATCGAGACACTGTTGAACCACGACCGAGACGACGGTGAAACGATCTTGACACCCAATGGTTGGTACAACTGTCTCGGTGTACCCGACGACGGAGATGCTGATGAATTGACAGCCAA